ACTTTTTCCCCCCCCAGATCGAGTTCACTCGGGAGCAGCTGGATGGTAAGTCTGGGGGTGTAGTGCCCCCTAGCCCCTCTTTTGGGCCAAATCTGCCCTGTCCCCTGCCCCAGAGGTGGCTGCAGCCTGGTGGGGGAAGCCCAGTCCCCTCCCCCCCCAACAACCTGGCTTGGGCGACCGGGCAGGACAATGGGCGTCCTTGGCCCAGAAAGGGCGTGATGACGCCTTCTTGGGGGCCACCGGCGCTGGCAGCTCTGGCGTGCAGGGATGGCCGCTCCCCCCGGGCTGGGCCGGTGCCAACCCCCGCTCCCAGGAAGGGTGATCCTGATCCCTGGGCCCCCCCCCCAGAGTACAGGGAGGCCTTCGAGCTCTTCGACAGGGTCGGCGACGGCAAGATCCAGCTGAGCCAGTGCGGGGAAGTGATCCGGGCGCTGGGCCAGAACCCCACCAATGCCGAGATCTCCCGGGTGCTGGGCCACCCGCGGCCCGATGGTGAGCCCATGCCAGTCTTGCGGGGGCGGGGGGCCAGAGTCTTGGTTTCTGCGGTCTGGGGCTTGGGACCTGGGGTCTGGCAGCAGCTGCCCCTGCCTGCGTCTGCAGAGAACCTGAACCAGCTGCGCTGGGGTCACTGCCCCCTTGCTCTCCATGGGGGCGGGGGGCACCTCCCCATGTGGTGCGGGCACCAGCATCGGGGGCTCTGCATGTGGGTCCCCCCCATTCTTTCAAATCCTGGCAGGCCCCCCCTGCCCCGCTCCTGGCATGGTTGGACTGGCCCCAGGCCCTGCCCCGCTCCCCCCCTGGGCTGGGCGTGTGGTGGGAGCCCCTCAGGCCGTGGCCCCGCGTGACCCCTGACCCCTAACCCCGGCCCCGCAGAGCTGATGTCGCGGCGGGTGGAGTTCGAGGAGTTCCTGCCCATGCTGCAGGCCATCGCCAAGACCAAGGACCAGGGCACCTACGAGGACTACGTGGAGGGGCTGCGCGTCTTCGACAAGGAGGGCAACGGCACCGTCATGGGCGCCGAGCTGCGCCACGTGCTCTCCACGCTGGGTGAGGCGGGGGGGCAGCAGGGCTGGGGGAGGGGGGCTGGGGCTGGGGGGTGCAGGTGCCCGCTCACCCCCCACCCCCGGCAGGCGAGAGGCTGACAGAGGAGGAGGTGAACGCGCTGCTGACGGGGCAGGAGGACGCCAACGGCTGCATCAACTATGAGGGTGCGTGCAGGGGGGCACTGGGGCTCCGGGCCGGGCTGGGGGCATCAATGATCCCGGCCAGACCGGGGGACATCCTAGGGGGCACCAGGGGGTGCCCGCTAGGTCAGGGACGTCCCTGGGGACAGTGGGGGTCCCGGGCACCACTCACTTCTCTGTTCTCCGCAGCCTTCGTCAAGCACATCCTGTCGACCTGAGCCGGCCCCTGGGTAGGTGCCCTCCAGGACCCTGGGCCCGGGGCTCTGCTCTGGGGGCTCCCGGACACGGCGGTCCTCACGGGTCTCTCCTGTGCACAGGCCTGGAGCAGCGACGCTGGCAGCTGGGTCCCGTGACACCCCCGGCCCCCGCAGCCCCCCAACCCTGCACAATAAACTTCTGCTCTCAGAAACCCCCCGTGTCTTGTTTGCTGGG